TTCATATAACACAATATAACATCAAGATAGTACAATGTAATGCAACCGACAACAACTAAATGCATGTGGTACCAACAAGATATAAGCCCTCTCCAAAATTCCAAATAGGGCAGCAATAGAGCATAAGCCCTCAATGTAACGCCGTTATAGGCTGACAACAGGACATAAGCCCTCACCAATAAATGCATGCATCATCAACATGCAACACCACAACTATGCAACCACAAGGCATAAGCCCTTAACATTTGTCAATAAGGCCATCAACATTATTATCATCATACAACATACAAATCCATACAAGGTTCCACATTTTAACCCAATACCCCTTATTCCTAGCCTTCTTATATCTACTTAAGTAATATTATTCATTATCGATCAATAGAAACTACACTGCACATGAAAACAGGAAAGAAATCGTGAAAACGAGAATTTTGATACCTCTGCCTACTCATACGCGTACAACATGCGTATGGCTTCTCCCTTGCCCATCACATATGTGTATCATACGTGTACCACCAGGGGTGCTTTCCCCCCAAAAACTCCTCTAGAATCCCATACATGTATTGGCTAGTCCATATGCGTATGACATCCTCTCATACGTGTACTATACGCGTACGGCCAGAAAGGTCATGCTGGCTTGGGGACAGGGTGTGTAACATACGCGTACGCCCCCTGGGAACTTTCCCTCATATGCATATATCTAGTCTGCTACATTTCAAATTCGGCTATCGCACCAGTATGTTTTCCACTCATTTTGAGCACTTTCAACCTTCTAATTTGGGTCCAAAACAATGTTTTTACACATAACACCCTATGGGTTTCATCTAATTTCGTTAAACACTTATTATATAACAATTTTCTACATCAAATTCTCACTTCTATCATCATCTACATGAACCTATATTTTCAGATTTGGGATTTTATGGAACAACACTACAACAACAACAATTATCAGCAACAATCACAACATTGTCATCAATTCACAATTCCATATAGAATCACATAGATATATCATCAATCAACAAAAGGAATCACCATACACCAAATCTATACAAAACCATAAGAGGGAAAGAAATCCTCACTACCCTCTCATGTTATAATCACCATTTAAAGAATCCATTCTCCCCCTTATCTTAGTTTTGACCTTTGATCCTTCAACAATGGTAAAATCTCTCTTGCCCTAGCTTTCCCATTCTCTTCCTTTATCTGTTTCTAGGTGACAATAGTTTTTCTCTCAAATAATCCTACTATCTTTCTAATAGTTGTTTTATTCTCATTAAATAATAATAACAATGGAATAATAATAATAATAATAACTATAATATTACTAATAATAATATTATCAGTGGTAACAATACCATATTTCTAACAATATTTTTTATTAATAATAGTCATAGTATATTTCAACACTCTCCAATATTATTATTACTACACCATTGACTAATTTTCATTCTAATTATCTAATTAAAACTAAGCTCTCACATACCCTTAGTCATGCCTATCTACCCTTAATCATACCAAAATAATTCAAAATCAATAAACAATGACTAAATATTTAAAGAATGCGTTACAAATTCTAAGGCTAGGACACTCATTACATGCACTAATTTATTGCTTAATGGATACTTAACAATAATCATGAATAGAATGGGAGTTACAAAAGCTAAAAAGTCACAAAAACTACCCAAAAACCAAAAGTTCATAATTGCCTGAGTGATGACCCATATGTGTTAGGCAACATGGGCTAGATGTGTCAGCCTCAGGTGTCTTATATAGAGGGGGCTTTGAAGGGGAAATGTGGCTCGTGTCATGGGACATGGCCATGTTGTGTTGTTCTCAAAAGCTTTGCATTAGAAGTGCTTATTTTTGTGCGATCTTCGACCTTTTTTGTCCCAAATCGCTTCATTGACTTCTTATATTATCTAAAAGCAAGTAAAAAAAACCTAAAAGCACATAAAACAAATTTGAATGATGAAAAAACACATAAAATATATGAGAAAATAAGCTAGAAAACACTATGCATTTACCACTTATCATAGAGGTTAAGAAAAACAAAAAAGATGAAGCGAAGAAATGCAATGGAAATAAAATAATTAACAAAAATTAAAGAGAGATAAGAGTTTATATAGAGTGCACGAGAAATTTATATAGGTTTGACCTAACCACTTGGCTACCCTTCCCTTAAGAGTTTCCTTTTGAGAGTTTCGCTGATATCATATTTCAACTTTTGCATGATCAACCCACAAACCTTCAACAATCAAATAGAGCTTTTAACAAAACATGTTGAGCTCAATAACTATCTACCAAACTTTTTTTCTTCAGATTTAGATTGAAACCTTCAAGTCTTTTACAAATATAATTTGCAAGAGAATCACAGTCTTGAACAAGATTAATAAAACACTACATCAACTACAACAAAACCCCGACAAGGGCTTTTTGGTATTTCGACACTACGATAATCTTTGTGAAAAGCAAATACGAGAGTAAAAGAAAAATGGAAGATTTATAATCATAATTTTTGTGTGAAATAAAATGAGGGGAAACTTTCTTTATATATATTTTTTTGCCTAAAGTTGGAAATGATTTATGGGCCATTTTAATGACAATCAATTAACTATAGTTATTAATCGATTAAATTTTTTTAAAAATAAAACAACCTAATCTAAAAAGTGAAACCCTAAAACGACTAGAAAGTTTAATCAATTAAAAGTTTTTTTAATCAATTAAGAGGTCATTTGACTTGCTCTAATTGACTGGACATAGTCCTTGACCGGTTAGGAAGTGTATGGACTTTCCCAATTGATCAGACATACCTTTTGATCAATTCCATGCAATCCTTAATGGGTTTTTAAGAGACTCTGTAAGACCATAAAGAGTTTTAAAAAAAATTCTATGTGTGTGATTTCCACAATACTTCAAGATTTACTCTTGAACTTTTAAATTTTAAGTGATCACTCAAAGATGCTAAGTGTATGACCAGGCGAGTTTTCACACATTCTCAACTTCAAATCTTCATGTTCCCTTGCTAGTTACAACAATGACTTAGCACTTTAACTGTAAATTGAATCTCATGACTAATGAGACTTGAGATATTTTCTTGATCAAGTGCCATCATTAGAATTTTTTATTTGACAATTGAAATTAACTTTCATTGTCACATGGAACTATCAATATCCATAAACTTTAATTTCATGGAGTTGTTATCTTTAAAATCGCTTTGTCAATTATTATCATAAAAACAACTAACAATCATACCTGCAAGAACATATATCTATATTATATACCCATGACTATTGCTATTATAAGTAAATTGGCCTTTTGTAATGGAAGGATCCAATGAGGTGCAAGTGTCGAGAAAATTAGAAAATTGTATCTCTTGAAGGGTTGAAAGGGCCCCTTTTATAGTCATTAAGGGGAATGGTTTCGTTGAAGTCCCCAATAAGCAACCAGGGGGGTTAATGATCCCTTTAGCAAGACTTCTAATGTAATTCTAAAGATTGGCACGAGTTACTAGGCGGTGGCTAACATAGACGGCGATGCAGGTAGTGATGGCCATCCTTGTAGTAATAGTGAAGGTGATGAATGATTGTTTTATCCAATCATGGTAGTTTTAACAAGAGAGGTTAACTCTCATAGGATTAAGATTCCCCCCGAATGACCATTGGCCTCAATAATGTACACGTGGACATATCCAATATTAGTCCCGAAGACAGAAAGTGTTGAAAAAAGATACAAATTTAAATAATAACAATGATTAGAAGGTTATATTTTCTAACCACTTATTTAACTTGCCTTTAAACACTAATGTTGGATTGATGATGGGCGACATACCTCTCTGTTGAAATAAATGTGTCTTGACTGGCTGGTTGAATGACAAACCTATTTGCAACATAAGGAATAACTGATAATATTTTAGGAATGATGGTTGATTGAACACATATTAATAGTTGTGACAATTTTACAATACATGCACTTGTAAGTGCACATCGATTGTCACATGTGGCTGGTTGATTAATGTTTGTTTAGCAGGTGAGGACACACATTTGATATTGTTCCTTCTTCAACACATATGTCTTTTGGAAAACTTGTTTTCATGATTTCGAGCAATCATAAAGAAATATTGATCGTTGTGAAGTCCAATTTTTGAGTCGCGGTTGCGGATAAGAAGGCCATATCACCCGCAAAAAATACATACGATGTAAAGTCTTTCACATGAGATTTTATACCAGCGGCCATTGATCCAAATTTCTCCAACTATGCTAAGAGTAAGATCCACTATAACACAAACTCTGACGAATCTTCCATGCTCAACTTTCAAGGTATTGTTATCAAATTTAAAGGGACAACCTATGGCGGAGACCATGACAAGCAAGAAACTTTACCCAAACGACAATTATTTCCACCTTGACATTTGGAGAAGCAAATTTCGACGTCTAATGAGAGACAACGAGGTAGCTGTCAAATATCATCTGCTGTACATTTGAGATTACCCATTCTCTGTTTCCTATTTGGTCAAATTTAACCAATAAAACCTATTATCATTATCCATTATCTCAATCCTACTTGAAATTTCCAAATCATTTAGAGATAACCTTTCATTGTGTTAACCATGACTACATTGATCTAGAGACTAGACATGTCTTTCATGTTCCCTCTATTTTATTTTTTTCTTGTGTATTTTATAATTTATTACATAACTTATTTTATAACATAATTTATTTAAAAGAATAATGATGTACTATATTACTAAAAAAGTTAGACACAAAAACAATATTTATTTAAGTTTGATTATCATTGGAAAGAATTATTAGTGATTATACTTTTTTTTTACACATGAAATGAAATGATGAAATTTTGACAAATTGAATTCCCTCCAAAACATTTGAGGGTGTTTGTTTTCCCTCTCCTATTCTCCTTCCAAAATCAATCAACACCTCGAAAACGAAAACGAAAACCCTAACCCTCTTGCAAAATCACCGCAATAGCATTGGATTCATACGATGTCAACTCACGAAGACGACCTCGATCTTCTGCTTTCTCTTCAAGACAAAGTTCCTGAAACCCCTCCCGCTTCTCCTTCACCGCGTAATCATTTCTTCATTTTCATTCATTCATTCATTTCAGATTATGTTTTTAACCTAACGTCAATCCATTCATTCATATAATTGCAGTTGATTTTGATGGCGACGACGATTTTCTACCGCGGTGGGAGACACCTGATATGTCCGTTTTCAAAGATGCAGTTCAGGATTGCCTTCTCAACCAACCCTCTAACCCTAACCCTAACCCTAATCCTAATCATAAACCAAACAACAAATCTAAGTCACTCGGCGAACTCGACAAATTCTCTGGTCTTCGCATAAGGTTCATTGCAATCTAAAAAAATGCATATTGAATTCATTTGCTTTGAATATGTTTATGAGTTTGTTTTAATGTGCCAGGGACCAATGTTTAACACCAGCTGAGCTTAGGGAACAACTTCAAGACATTCGTTTTGTTCGCCTACCCGTCATCAAGTAATCTTCTTCACCTTATTTTTACTGTTATTACTTGTTTGTGTATACTTTTCAATCTTGTATGTAGTTATACTTTGCCTTCAAAACTAATTTGGGCTAATCGATTGTGTGTATTCAGGAATTTGGTGAATGGGGATACTTTCTCTGGAAATTGGGTAACTATTGGAGTGTTGACTGAGAAGGGGATTCAGAAAACAAGTTCAAATGGGAAGAGCTTTTGCATATGGAAAATTGGGTGTTTGGATGAAAATACTGTTCCTCTTTTCTTGTTTGGAAATGCTTATCAGAGGAATTGCCAAGAGAAGGCAGGAACGGTCTTTGCACTCTTTAATTGTGGTGTTCGCAAGGATGCCAAGGTATCTAATTGTTGGGAGTTGGTTAGATTTTTTCAATCAAAATTTTCCATGAGTTTTGAATCTCTTTTATATTGTTTTTGCAGGCTAATGGTTTTTCTTTGAGTATATACTCCCCTAACCAAATTGTGAAGATGGGCACCTCTGTAGATTACGGAGTTTGTAAAGCGAAAAGAGCGGATGGGGTGGCATGTACAATGGCTATAAATAAGTATGCAAATAAATTATGTATCTACTATGTTGTTATTTATTTTGATATGTTAAATGTGGAATTGCCACTGGATTCTTTGTTAATTGTCTCTGAACCTAATCATCGTTTATGCAATTTACAAAAGGAGCAAGAGGAACCATCACATTTTTCTCTCTCTTTTATTTGCTGAAAAAAGTCTGATCTAAACCTGTGGAATTTGACACTGGCTGAATTCGTAATTTTAAATCACGAGTGCTTGCATTTGTTCTGACACTTTTCTGTGAAAAATAAAACAAAAGGAGTGAATGTAAAAGGAATTTATATATTGAAAGCCACTCAGTAGCTAGAGTCTAGAGATGCCTACTGGCATTTCAAGGGATAAGGAAAACTTTATACCGCACAAGGTGTTGTTTCAAAATGCGTACTGTATAAGTTGCAAGGCACATTTGAAGGAACAGATTCCCATTGGTTCAGTTCAGTTGAGAAAATTGAGTGCAGACTAAGTGAATCAATAGTTTAGATTTTTATGAAGTACATGCAGTTAGATAGTAATCCATGAATCCGAACCTGCTTTGCATAATTCACATTTGCTATTCACGAGCATTATCAGAAGTAACATGGATTCACTTGCTTGTCATACTTGGATTCTTGTTATGCAGTTTTTTCAGTTTGTGCAATGTTTAATAATAGATTTAAAACTGTCTGGAAAACTAGAAGTCTTATATTGGTCATTTTTGTACAAACAAAAATTAAACTTTCAAATGGAAAGCTCTATCTTGTTTTTAGGGTCCAGTTTAAGGAAATATAAAAAGCATGATATCCATATTCTTATTTGTTATATTATTTTATTAAATTTTCCTTGACGTCCCTGAATTATTAGTGTTTCCGTTTCTCCAGACTCCAACTAATACTTTTTCCATGTTTGTTTTCCTTCTTACAATATGATACTAGTATTTTTTAAGCTCTTTCAAACTCCGAATGATTCACTTCATGTCATAACCATTATTAATCTTTGATATTTCAGGCGTCAGGGGACTTATTGTAAATATCATAAATCAGTAAGTAGCATTTAGTTTTTGCATGTTTTCTGTTAGCATTTTCTATTAGTACTCTTTGATATTAATTCTGTACCTTGTTATTTATGGCAGAAAACATCCGAGAAGTATTCCACCGTAAGAACTGAACTCAAAGGAGGGTGAGTGTTTTCCTCTTTTTAGTTTTTATAGAAATGTGCTCAACTTGTTTGATTTCATATGACTCGTGGATGTGACATTAACATGTGGTTCTTATAAACAGAAACTTAAGGTCAGCATTTAGGCCTAGAGATTATCTCAAGTCAGAAGGAATATACTTAGTTGACCCCCTTGCCGACAAAACAAACATGAAGAAGTCTAAGCCAGTGAAATTGTTATCCGTCGATAGTCTCAGAAAGGCTTTGAGGTTTGTCAAAAATGAGTTTATTGTTTTCTCTACTTGGATTCTTTCTCTGCAAATATTAATATTTTAATTTCGATACCAGCAATGCAGGAAAAGTAACAACAGCTTCACACTCGCAAGGGATTAGATTTCTTTCGGAGGTTGCAGGTGATCAGATCATCTTGTAAATTTAATGGCATTGACACATGTATAATGTATTCTTAGCTGGCTTTTATCCTTTGACAATTCCTTGCAGGTAAATTTGATCCAAACATGATGAAAAAAGGACCAAAGATTCTAAACGAACACAGCAAACAAACAGAGAAGAGGTGAGTTGCCAAAGAGGTTCTAGGTTAATATTACTTACGTCTTATGCATGTTACTTATAAAGGCTTAATATACTGATTACGTGTTCTTTATTATCTTCAGGAAGTCATCTTATGCGACTACGGGATACTCTACTGTCAATAAAAACCAACAGTCAGATGTAAAAAGGGTAAAAACAGAGGGGCAATGTTCTGTTGATAAAACCACAAAGAGTGCAATAAATATGATTGACTTAGATCTTATTAGTTCTGATGACGACTACTGAAATTTGTCTGTTGCTCCGCTTGATTTTGTTGTTTAACTGTGAGAAGAAAATAAATGCTACTACAGAGGATTGTTGAAAATTAAAATAGCGAACATTGTTGCCTCAGAAAGTATTGAAGTTTCACTTGGAAGATTAATTTCTTGTGCAAATATGCCAAAGTCCCGCACAAGAAAATTAGTTCATTCAGTTATACCGGTCATAGGAATACCAGATTTTACCAGGTTGTCTACATCATTGTTACAAATTTGGGTTAAGCTTATTTGAGTTGAGCAACTCCCTTCAAAAGAGATATCAAGTTCTGAGTCGAGAGTTGGGGATCAACAACTTATTATTTAAAACAGTTGGATGTAATTTTTTTCTTCAATTTGATAGCTGAGATATGCTGTCTAGAACATGTGATCCAAGTTATGTTAAATTGCAATTTCTAACTTGCTGTGCATCAACTGTCTTTCCTGTTCTGGTTCATTTTCTTCATGGACAGAAGCTCCATGTCAACTTAATAATTGTTTTTTGAATCTTGTTTGTGTATAATTAATGGTTGAATATGCTGAAAACTTTCCACATTCTTTTCACCAGAAGAATTAAAAACAATACAACTTGCCCATTGTCTATATACACTATCATCAAAATACATGCCCGCTTAATTTGGATTGTCTAAGTACATAATTTTCAATTTCTCTAAGCAAATTGATTCAAAAAAGCAATAAATCATAATCAATTAGTCATTTTATGTAGCCCTGCATTTGACGCAATAACCATCCTTTAATGCTTGCTACTCTTACTATACTACAAGCCTTATCTAGTTATTATAATAAGAAATTTTATCCGGCTACCTTCACACTTTGACCCGACACTCCCACATATTTTCATAATATTCATATTACTCTTGTTAAAATTTGAGTATTTTTTATTCTACCCCATGTCTAAAAGAAATGCGCTATACAATTCTTAAAATGTCTCTTGAAAATCAAAAATGTATTTTTGGTGCACATTTTTTGTTGTTAAAATTGATTTAAAATTGGAAGTATAATTGCAGTTGTAAACCGACAATATATTTCTGGTGTCAATGCTGCCAATAGCAGGAAAAATGAGACAGACAAGAAAATTATTCTGGACTGACCCGGCAACTAGAATGAGCCCAATTTAAGACATTTCCTTTGGTACGGTCCGCATGACCATGACCCAGATTGTCCGTTACCTGTCGGGCAATGCCAACTGTTTGTCCTCTCGAATTAGCACTGACCCAGGGTGATCGACGAGCATCCTCTCAGCTTGCCCGACATCAACGTCGTGTAGGCCACCAGGAACCGACCAGAGAGATGCCCGTAACTAACCCCCTCCTCGGGACCAACGACTAGTTACGAGCACATCTTCCCAGTTTGATCAAGTCTTGGCAGTTACCTGATTTTACGGACTCGCATATCCAGGCGTGAAATCAGGAACCAATGGCTACGCGCCAGGGCATTATATATACCCTCACACATATCAAATGCTGACGATTCACGACCTAATACTTTGCTTGACCTCCTTGTTCCCACTCTTACTCGATCGTCAGAGTGCCTTGCAGGTACAATCCCCTTTTTTCCTCGACTCCACAACCCGACTACAGATCATCTTCCGACCACTTCTCAGGTTCTGATCAACCGGTAAGATCAGTGGCGCTGTCTGGGAATTCTACTCTCCCCATCTTTCTTTCCTCGAAACTTAAGATCAAAGCAACTTTTCTAGATTTCTTTCACTAATCATGAACGACCATGATGATCTTCATCTGCCCGGAAAGACTATTCTTCCCCCTGCTCGCAAAGCCGACGGAAGTCAGGAACATCCTCACCTCGAGGACAACCTGGCCTTCCAGAACGGACAAACCGCGTCTCCAGATCCAACGGACGCCCGACGCGGTGACAACCAATTCTTGGACAAGGGACGACCCAAGAATTCCACTGAGGAAATGCAAGAAGTCATACAACCAGTTTCCACCCCTCTCAACGCCGACCCAGCCATGACAGCACCGCTCGCTGCTATCAATCAGACCAACGTCTTTATCCTACAAAAAAATCAAAGGATATGGGCCTGGGAGAACAGAGAATTAAGATCTCCTCCTCGGAGAATCCGACGATGAAACTCCTCCAGTGTTTCGCCACCCCCGCGTGGCCCACCACCTAGAAAGGAGAGGTGCGATATTTCTTTCTTCAAGAAACGCAACCGCACACCTCCTACTAGAGATCAAGACTCCCCTTCATTTAAGAAGAGGAAAGACAACAGACAAATTGGTCGTGCTCAACTGCCTTCCCTCGAGGCAAAGCAGAAACGAAGGAGCCTCTCCCTTCGACGGGACCGTGACGATCAACGAGGAAGAAACTACCACTCTCCATCTCCACCTCCTGCAAATAGTGAGGATGACGAGCCCCGTGGCCCGCTATCGAGGGAGATTACTGAAGCTCCACTTCCTATCGGTCTAGAGAAGCCGTCTATATTAAGAACCTATGATGGAACAACAGACTCTAACGAGCACATCGAGAACATCGATGCTCTCCTAGATTACCGAGGGGTCAGGGGAGTCATCAAATGCAAACTCTTTCCAACCACTCTCAAGAAGGGGGCGATGTCATGGTACAAGAGCCTCCCCGACGAATTCATCACCTTGTGGAAACAACTCGGAAGGATATTTTCGAGGCATTTCACTGCCTCCCGTCGACACCCGAAATCAGAGGCTTCGCTCGAAGCAATCATACAGGGCATGGACGAGTCTCCGCGGGCATATATTGAACGCTTCAACAAGGAAGCGATCCAAGTCCCAACGGCGGATAACACGAAGAAGTACCTCCTTGAGCGCAGGCTCTGTCCCCGCAGTCACTTTGCCAAAGCTGTAGGCATAGAGACGCCGACCACGCTCGACTGCCTCCTCCTTAAGGCCCATGCGTACATACAATACGAGGAAAAGGAGGCGACCAACAGCGTCAGGGAATCTAGGCACAAAGAGAGTGCCAAGTCCTTAAAAAATGACGAGCCATCGACATCCCGTCGAGGAGAGAAGAAACGGGAGGACAAGTCCCGTGATTCCAAAGACTACAAGGGGACAGCCGATCGTTTCCACGAATACACCCCTCTAAAAACCTCATGAGAGCGTATTCTTTCTAAATGCGCCAATTCTGAATTCAAGCAAGCTGGGGTGCGCTTCCCCCGACAAACACCATCCAAGTCGAGAACCGACAAGAGCAAGTATTACAGGTTCCATAAGAGTCACAGGCACAACACAGAAGATTGCATTCATCTCAAGGATGCAATCGAAATACTCATCAGAGACGGGCACCTCAAACAGTATAAAAAGAAGGAGGGTACCCGTGACGAAGCACCAAAAACTAAAAACGTCGAGAAGGGGAAGAAATCTCCCGACCTCGATGCCATTCCGGTCTCCATGAGCATGTCACGACTGTAAGACTTTTATTATCCGGACATAGAGGACGCCCCCCTGTACTTATCCTCTCACAGTCCTTGGGAATCCTTCCCCGCAACCATGGTTATCTCTGGAGGAGGGTTCAACAGGCACATAGTTGGATCGGTGAAGAGGAGATTCAACCAACTCATTGAAGCCAACCCATATATGGACGCCACACTCGATAAATTCCGAGGAGGATCCCATCCCCTCGCATTTTACAGAGAATAATTGTCAAGCGGGGCCCCGAATTTGAGCATCCCACTACTCGTGAGAGATCGAATGACTAATTTTGACGTGCGTCGCATTCTGGTCGACTAAGGCAGTTCGATGGAAATCATGTATGCTCAACTGTTCACCACCTTGCAGCTGAACGAGAGCCACCTAACCCCCTATGTGGGATCTGATCTGCAAGGCTTCAATGGAGCCAGCACAAAACCCTGGGGATATGTAGAGTTGATCGTCACATTCGGGAGAGGGGTAACGGCCCGAGCCATCAAGACCCAATTATTGGTGGTAGATTTCCCGTCTCTCTATTAGTGCATCTTCGGGAGACCCATTCTCGCCGAACTCATCGTGGTCCCTTCTACCGTTCATCTCAATATGAAGTACTACACCGCCGAAAGCTTGGTCGCCACCCTCCACGGGGACATCCAAGCAGCCAGAAGGTGCTTCGAAGCTTCAGCCAAAGGCCTCAGTTCCATCAGCACCCAACCTCGAACGACCACTGGAGCCACACTTCCCTCCATCTCAGAGGAAGTCAAGCCGTTGCTGAGGGTTGATACCATTGACCTTTACAATCGTTTCTCCATGGAAGACCGTGTCGAGCAAAGGAGGAAAGGGAAGGAGCCTATGTTCAAAGACGAAGGGTCGACTTCCTCAGTTGATCGCGACGAGCTCTCGAGTCACGCACGGCCCATCCCGGACGGTGACTTCAAGCTAATCCCCCTCAGAGAAGACCCCACCAGAGGAGTAAAGATCGGAGCAGACCTCCCCGACCTGGAAAAAAGGCAACTCAAAGCTTGCCTAAGGGAGAATGCTGATCTGTTTTCCTGGAGTGCGGCCGAGATGCTCGGTTTAGATCCAGAGGTCGCATTCCATCACTTGACCATTGATCCTGCCATTAAGACGGTCGCGCAACGTAGAAGAAAATAGTCGTCAAAGAAAGCGAAGGCTGTAGAACTAGTTGTAAAAGACCTCATAGAGGAACATTTTATTTCTGAAGCCCAGTACACAACCTGACTCTCAAATGTAGTTCTCATAAAAAAATCTAATGGAAAATGGCGCATGTGTATTGACTATACTGATCTCAATCGGGCTTGCCCGAAAGATGCTTATCCCTTCCCCAATATGGACAAACTGGTCGACAACTCGGCCAATTTTAAATTGATATCATTCATGGACGTGTACTCTGGTTATAACCAGATACCCATGGCGAAAACGAACAAAAAATATACCGCTTTCATGACCGAGTCAGACAACTATTACTACAATGTAATGCTATTCGGCCTAAAAAATGTGGGCGCTATATACCAGCGCATGATGAACAAAGTTTTTTGCAATGAGA